GTTTCTCAGATAGCAGTCAAGTGGTGCACCATACACACAGACAACATTTTGGCATGTTGGCAAATCAGTTACTCTTCAAAAGGGCAGTCAATTGTCAGTTAACCAATCACATTTCTCTCCCTGCTAGGTGATTTCCTCCCTGCCGCCGTCCGTCCCCACTCCCCAGGAGGAGCCACCGGCGGCTGCCATGCCCCGGGTACAGGGGGGCGTGGACCATGAGACCTTCCCCAAGCCCATCGAGATGCCCCCGGCCAAGCTCAAGACCCAAGGCTCGGACATCCTGGCCGCGGTCCAGCAGGGGAGCTTCAATTTCATGCAGGACTCCATGCTGGACTACGATGGTAAATCTCCACCAAACCCCCCTCTGGGGCCTCCACCCCAACCTCGTCCACCCCATTTCCCTCACCCCAACTTCCCCCACCCTCATTCTCCCACCCCCATTCCCCCACCCCCACCTGGATACTGATTCGATTCAATTTGAATATATTCACTATTTCCACAAAATATTGTTACAAAAAAATAACTTAAAAAAAAGCAAACTCACATAGTCTAAGCTACATGTTACAAGTTGCGCAGTATTTTTATTGACTCTAAATCGAGTATTCGAGTATGAGTGTTGGCACCGGGCAGTGTTCACAGGATAGCTGGTGAACATTATTTTAAATAATAATAAAATTTTCATTGTGTTAGTTTTACAATGTACTCGGATGTACTCAATTATCTTTGTACTCGTACTCGGCCCGTAATCAGACTCAGAAAAACTCGAACTTGGATTTTTGGGCCAGGACTCGGTTAAAAAGTACTTGGACCCGGCCTGTACTCTGCACTGTGTGTGTTTGGTACTCCACTACATCGCTTGAAATCAGTGACACATTCTTTATACTTCAACTTGCAAGTAGCATTAGGCCTCATGTAAACTTAATAGCGGCCAGACTTTGTAGACCTAAATACCAATGTGACTTTGCCAAGTTCTTCAGTTTTGGGGGAGATGCTTGTGACTCACGTTGCTTCTCTTGTCCTTTCTCCTTTTTCTCCAGCCCCTCACATTGACCCGGCCGTTGTCGCCACCGGCCAGTCCTACCTTCCATCCCAGGGATACAGCGCCCTCAACCACCCGCCAGCCGTCAATGGTAAGTTTGCCTTGGGCGTCCCATTTTGCTGTCTCCCTTCTGACCGAGTTGCTGCTTCAGTTGGTAGAGAGTCGCGAAGGTGGAGTCTGACCATTTTGCTCCATCAAAAGGGAGACTGAAACTGATCATACATGCCGTTATTGACAATAATAACCATAAGACTTCAAAAATGAGGCAGCAACTCGGTCAGAAGGAGCTCTGCTGCATTTCAATTTCACTAAACCTTTTTCTGAACTGAACCATGGACTTGAGCAGTTCCATTTCACTGCCTGTGAACATACATTACCACACATACTTTTTGTCATGTAAGAACACAAAAAGCAAAACAAGTTTTGAAGCACTGAAACAAAGAACAGAGTGCAATGGCTTTTCTGTTGTCTTTAAAGAAGACATAAGATTGACACCACTGCTAAAGAGGTTTCTGAATTTTTTGGTGGGATTATTTAGCGGAACAATCCATACCGCAGCATCAAACTCTGGACCAGCTCTCCCAGGCCCAAGCCATGGATCTCCCCCTGTCAGACCCCGCCCACCCCTCCTCCCTCCCAACACACCCCGCGTATGAGTCTCAGACAACCGGTCTGGTGTCGGACCCCAGTTATGGCATGCCCTCACCGTACGAAACCCAGCAACACCAACAGCAGCAGCAACAGCAGCAAGCTAGCCTTGCACAACAGCAGCAACAGCAACAACCACCAAGCCTGGGCCACCAAGGCTTGGGCCAGCAGGGCCTGGGCCAATCACCTCTGGGACAGCCGGCAGCCGGCTTGAGCGGGCAGCGGAGCCACACAGGCCAGCAGAGCGGACTCGGGGTTCAGCAGACACTGGACGGAATGACGCAAACGCAGACGATGATGTCGACGCAACAGCAGCCACCCAAGCGGGCCGACCTACCGGAATTTCCCAGTCCGCCCGTCGACGCACAACTCACAAAACCAGAGGTCAGTGAAAAAAACCAGTCGTGATTCTTCTCTGAATTTTGTACAAAAATTGTTGCTAATGGCACTGTAATGTTGCTTTCACAACTTGCATAAAGTCTGAATCAAAATTGAACTTGTACATTTTTGGGCCCGGCAGGAAAAGTCATCCAGTTTGCAAGCATCAATGCTTGGTCAACACACTGCCGGCATGGGTGCTGGGAGCAGTTACTCACAGTCGATAACATCGCAGACCCTTTCAGGTAGGTTGTGGAGGGGACATATAAAATCCCTCTAACTGTAAGCATGTAATCTCGTTTTAGTTTCACACTGTGCCTCTTTCCGCCATGGTGACGGTTTGTTCGCGATATGCTGAAGTACATGTTGAGATATCATTGTACTGAAACAGCTTCTGATAACTGGCAGTGCAACCAAGTTCAAGGCCTTGATCCAAACGGTTGACAGGACGGTCTGAAGCAGTCAGTGTTTTGATGATGTTCGTTGACCTTTTTGATAAGTGGTCACTCAGACTTGCCTCATGTTTAGACACGTCCAGCTCGAAGTGGTGAAGTTAAACCGTGGTTTGTTTTGACCTCCCGATAGCAGACCCAGCCAACCAGCACACGTCACAGATGGTCCCCCCGCCCTCTCTCACCGACCACCCCACCGCTGCCGCCACACTGCAGCACCACGACCTGTCGGCGGCGGCGGCGGCAGCCTCCAGCAGCACCCTGACTCCCAAGTCCACCATGAACGCTAGCGCCCCACCCTTTCAGATGACCTCCAACTCGGCCCGCTCCTCGCCCCAGATGCAGGCCATGCAGCAGTCCGGCGCCCTCGACCAGCAGCAGCAGCAGCAGGCCCCGTCGCAGACGGACATGGGCACATTCCAGACGGCGGACCCAGCGGCGGTAGTGCCTGCCACACCGGCGGAGAAGATAGTGGAGCGGGACAGCCCCAAACCTGAGACGGCGACGACGATTCCGTCGCAGCAAAGGGAGCAAGAGGAAAGCGCAGAACAGCCGTCAGACAGCCAACCCAGTGATTCAACAGGTATGCTCACGTCAGAATGACTTGTTTTGGCCAGGTTAAAAAAAAATGGAACCCACTGTTGTCTTGGTACAGGACCGTCATCTAGGAATGAGTGTGAAACGCTGCAGTGGTTAATGTACTCGTGAAGCGTAATTGCTACATACTACCTTCACTCAGACGAATTTGGATAGCATTTGAAAATTTGGCTGATGTGAATTAGTTGAAAACTGCATCCAAGCAAAATAGGCGTCTCAGAAGGTCCCCAAACAACCAGGGCACCCTTCTCTGGTGAAAGGCTCTCGTTGAGATGAAAATTAGGCCGCATCTGATTTTTAAAAGGCTATGGCTAGAAATAACACTTGTGTCTATGGGGAATGCACAAAGCCTCTAGCTTTCAGCCTCGTAGGCGCGTGTTATTTTGCAGCCATAGCCATGCCATTTGGACTTAGCAAGGGATAATGACATGTCACCGTCTTACTCTTTTTCGTTGTCCAATTCAGCACAATCGTCGTATACCTCCTACCCATCCTACCAATCCAATTCCTACCGAGGCAACGGGCGGGGCAACCCAAGAGCGTTGAGGGGCGGCGGCATGAACAGCACCGGTTTCCGCGGCAGCAGGGGTGGTGGCATGCCATACATGGGCGGGCGGTCCACTGGGAGGTACCCGGCCAATCCCAACCCGAGCCCAAGGGGTGAGTAGGCAAGGAATGTACGATAGCATCGTTGTCATGACCAGTCAGGATTTACAGAACTGCGACAAAGGAAGGCTTTTGTTTGCGGTTCCTTGGAATAGACTGGAGATTTTGGATGTCTGGAGAAGTCCCGATGAAAACACTGATTTACAAACACAGGTTTTTGTGGTTTACATACTGAAGGAAATGAAATATTCCAACACGAATGTGTAAACAAATAAACCCGTTGACAAGTCTTTGCAGCTCTTGCTAAGGGCTGCTCTCCGACAATTGGTAAGCAGAAATTTAGTCAAGCCCAGAGAACGTTTGCTTAGCAAGAATGGGTTACCAGTGCAAATGTCATTGAGGGTGCATTACATGTGACTGGTTCCCGGCTGAGTTTGGCTCCCCACGTAAATTTTCCCAGCTGGCCCTTTTATTGGGCCCACGAGTCAAACTTTTGTGCGTGGTCAGAAAAGGACCTGATGCGACTTTTTTTGCAGTCCGGACTTCAAGTTTTGCGTGTCCTCTGAAAAATGAAAGCGTACAGTGTTGAGCACCACGTGAGTAGTTCCGTAGTTCTTATAGATCAAAGAGAATGCCGCAAATTGCTAGCAGCATTGTGGAGTTTTCGTGACCCTTATTAACCCAATTTAGCCCCTCTCAATTTTTTTCCGTTCCAGGCCCTGGAGGTTACAACAGCTACATCCCCAGAGACAACTTTCAGCAGCGGGCGCCCGACCTGCCCTTCGGCAACACCAGTCCCAACTTCAGCACCTTCGGCCGGGCCCAGGACCCCAACTTTGCTTACAACCGGAGGGTGGCACTCCCACGGGGCTCCCCGAGAGGTGAGGCAGGACTTCGGGATGTTGACACCATCATGGCGTAGGGCTAATCCACCAGGATAGTGCAGCACGGAGCATTTGTCTCAGAGGGTCCAATTTTAAACTTTTATCCTTTGGGCCGAGTTGGGGCGGTTTGTTTCCTTGATGTTCACGAACAGGTCGATTTGTTGCTCAAGGGTCAGCCGCTTGAACACCGGGAACAAACAACCGGTTATCGCTGGAAGTTAGTGACAAGCAACACACAACATGGCGGCGTCCATGTAGGCTACGTTATTCGAGAGTTAATGTTTGGATGGGCTGAATTCTTTTCTATATAAACAGGAACATCCATATCTGTGTTACGGAAAATAATTAATGTTAATTTTGCAAAACTTCCCATTGTCTATGGCTTTGGAAGCCATCTCTCTACTTTTTGCAGCTGTTCAAAAATCAAAATCTCACGAATTTTTCGGTGTGTTCCTGTAAAACCCTGCCGAGGAGGTGGTGTGTGATCCTGTTCCGAGAACAGTGTTCTTGAGTCATGTTCCCGCCTTTCGAGCGCGAGCACAAGAAACTTGTGTCAAGAACAGGCCGCCCGAACTCGACCAACATGTTCGTGTATGGTACCACAGGTGCTCATACAATCTAGCAACATAAAACACAACTTGCGCCTCTGTGAAGTGGACAAAGATGGACACTAGGGGGCCGCAGGGTGTTAGGAAAAAAACCCTCGATTTGGCTGCAGAAAGGAGGCGGTGGCTCGGTCAGTTGGGGAAAAAAAGTTTTGGGGAGGTCTTTTTCAATTCACACAAATTTTCCATTCTGTGATTTCTCTCCAGGAACGCGCGGAGGGCCGGCAGCGGTCCGAGGACAGGCCAACTTCCGAGGCCGGGGTGGGAGTAGCGGTTACAAGCCACAGGTGACCGTTTAGGACCTCTTACCAAGTTACAGACAGAGAGGGTATTTCAGTCTTTGGAGAGACAAATTTTTGAAGGATAAACTGTCCTTCTACTCCCTTCCCCCCCCCCACTCGTGAGCTTTCCTGGTTCCATGTTTTTCCACAGTCCTGTTTTGTAGGAAATCGTAACCTCCCCCCCCCGTAGGTCCAGTGCACAAAAGTTTGGGCATGTGCCCCTTCTGTAGTGGCCATATTAGATCAGTTCCACAAATCTTTCTTTGTTATTGTCACCAGACTTCATGGTTGCATCATAGGGACCAGACTCGTTTGCCTGAAACATACAGGTACCTTCTGTATGGTGTCCCTGCCAGCTTGTCTGGCTCCCTGAAGACAGGGGAGCATTTCACCAAAAAAAGTGCTAGACTGAATATATTCAAGGACCTGTCGCCTTTGTGCAGCCAGGCAAATGCTGTGCCAAGTTTTACATAGACCACAAAATGCATCAATAAAACTGTTTCAAAAGTTGCTCTAAAACTACAACTATGTGAAGTCCAGAGTTTGTTGCCGTGGAGAGATTTTGAAAGGGAACTAATGTGGCCACTGCAGGACACAGCATTCGGTGGGAGAGAGAAACTTATAGTCCCCTGATACTCAGTTTCTTGGAAGGGGGTTAGCAATAACGAAAGTATGCAAAAAAAGCAGAATTTCACCTCTGACCCGAAGACTGCAGAAAGCCCCCCCTTTTTATACATCGTAGATCTCATCCACTTCCCCCCCACTACCACCTTTCAGTTTGAGAATAGCAGTGCCGATAGATCACCCTGGCGTAGCCGTAGACTTATTTATGGAAAAACAAGTTTGTGCGTCTGCGTGATTGTTCCAGTTTTTACCATCGGCCGGAAAACAAGTCAGTCTTCTTTTTTGCAACAAGTTTTTGCAACAAGTTGAATTCGAGCAAAGTCCTTGTATCTCTGCTTCCTGGCCTGCAGCGCCATCAGACAGTGGCTCTTGTTTTGTCATTTTTCTTCTTTCGGTGCCACCTTTCGGAAAAAGAAAAGTGATGAAATCATAGTTTCCATTGGAGGATTTTTTTTTTCTTGGCAGTAAAGGCAGCAGGCGACGGTTGTAGCAGTTTTCAGTTTACGAAGGCGCTCTTTTTTGTTTTTTTTTGGCTAAGATGTGAAGGAGTGTGGAGTCTTTTTCTCTGGTCTTGATGGGCAAGCTGTTGAGGCAGCAAAATTGGTCAGTGAAGCCACTTAATTGGCCACTTTGGCCACTGTTTCCTCGGCCATATCTTGGGCCACTGTGGCCACTGATGTGGATGTGGCTGGGTTTGTGTCTACTATGGTAAACTTAGGTTGTTTAATTTGGCTTTGTTGGCCTTTGAGTTGGCTACCATTGGGCAGGCCACGTAGTTACAGTGGCCTTCATAGTGGCTGCCACTCTGGCCGCTACGAATTCAGAATCGTCCATGTGGCTGAAAGAAAGTCCGCTGGATGGACAAAGAATTCCTTGGAAAAGGTACTTTGTTGCAAGCCACTTTGCCCAAGTTATCTTCCCTCTTTCCGTCAAGTCCAGAGAAAAAAAAAGGAACTGTTTAAACATCTCGATGAACAGAGATTTATCAAGTGATTTTTTTTGTAAGTATTTTCTTTGTTTTTTTGTATATTAACTGTTTTGTAGTTGCCATCCTGGCATAAAAAATAGCCCTTTGTACTGGTGACATTCCTCAGTGTTTAAGTTGTTTGGGGATCATCGATGGGGTGCAGATGACCCCCAGTGTGCTGTGAGTCGGGACAATGGCTGGCAGACATACAAGTCACATTTGATCACAAGAAAGCAAAAGACACAACCTGAGCATTTCCAGTTGTGGAAGAATAATTCTCTGGGAGGTTTTAATAAAATGGACGGTTATTAAAAAAAAGTTTCTTTTTGAACCAGAGGCAATTATACTTGTGCTGATGATAGTGCTGTATGCCGATATATGCACCGATGGCCCCATATTCTGTTCTGACTGTGCTGTAAATACCATATTGTGTCATCTGTGCATAGGGTTATTATAAATTTTGTAACAGAAGTGTAATACCTTTGCATAACATGCCGGTTTTCTGCTTCTCTCCCGTGTTCATCATGTCAAATTCTGCCTGTTTGAAATGGTGGTGTCGGCTAGGAAAAGATACGGTGCATTGTTGGGGACACATCAGCTGGAATCTTTTCCACGGGGGTGAGGAAATCAAACATGCACAGAGGTAGCAGTCATTGTCCTGGAAGGTGTCTTGGGGGCAGGCGACGCCGACCTTCTCGTTCGCATGTCTGCCTAGTGTAAATGTTAGCAGGAAACCAGTCGCTAGCAGGAAGTGTAAACTGCGCTTTGACTGGTAACCATTTTTGCTTTTCAATACAGAGTAAGTTCAGTGACTGTATACCTCTGTGAAATATAAGCACCACAGTTTCAAAGACGGAAGTCTGTGTTTACCTTGAAAACTGCTTGCCGTCTTCTTTAATGTAAAGGATTATTAGACATTATGCAAAGGTAATACTCTCATATTTATAAAAGTAAAATCATTTTTTTGTATCAGACGATAAGTTTCACGTATTAAATGAACATATTTCATCTGTTCATGTGTTTCCTCATAGAATTGGGCAAACACCGAGCTTGTGCAAAGTTTGATTTTTGGAAGTCCTGGTCATACCAGTGAATTTCTTGTGCACAATTTCTTTTCTGTGTCCTTAATTTGGTAATATAAGAAAAGTGTAAATTTGCTCATAAACTCACGCCAAAGTGGCCATATCACAACATTGTTGGCCAGAAGTAGAAAGGGAAATTTGCTTAAGTTTTCCAGCCGGTTTTTGTCAGTTTTTGTTTTGTTACGTCTTATTTCTGTTGTGATTTTTTTCCTGTACATTTATCTCCCTTCATGAAAGTGAAGCTTGGTCCCTTGGGACTTGACCGATTTCTTTTCAAATGTGTTAGTTAAAATGAAGGAGCATGTTTTCCACTGTGTGTTTCTTTCTCTGCCACTTTAATTGGCTAATCAGTCTGTATTGTAACCAATTCATTGTTCAATATTTGATATTGAATAATAAAAGCTTCCCGTTGATGAAAACTGTCAGCTGGAGTTGTAGAGTTTACAAAAAAGTCTTCCCTTTTCAGTAGTCTTTCCATTGGAATTCTGTGAACCGAAAGTATTTAGAGCGTTTTTACTAGTTGCTCAACGCAAGCAACAAGAGCTCTACTCTTTTTTTTTGTGCAAGTGTAAGGTATAAATTAAACTATAAACCTCAGTCAACTAAGAATAGCAAGTGGCCTTGTTGGTAAGGCTTTGGACTTTGGAATGGAAGGTCCTGGGTTCAAATCCTGGGGAGGGCTGTTAGGAGTTTTATATTTTACTGTTCATGTACTTTGACAAAAACATGCAAAAGGTTCTTCTCATCTTGCTTCTTTACCCTGCCGGGGTTTGATCCTGCTTTGGGAGGTTGTCACTTTCCGTCTCAAGCTCGGCAGGTTAACCTGTTGAGCCACTTGGGTCCCCCCACTTAGAGACTGTTTGGATGTCCTATTTAAAGGTGAGATTCGTACTTAGAAAATCCAAGGTTAGGTCCTGATGAACACCAGACTATAAGTGGAGGGTGCAAGTTCAGGAACCAGAAAACTAACTGCATCACTTGGTAAATCCAAATGTCTCTATTGCATCAGGATCAATAATATCTATACACTGCAGCAAACAGCAGATTGACATGTGAGTAAGAAATGAGTTAAGATGATGTCGACTCGGTTGAACACAAACACTTTAGACAGTTTCACTTCGGTTCAAAACGATTTCAATAACAAAACCAGAGCTGGTGTATCTCATGCGACAAAATCAATGCATTTTCCTTCCTCGTCCAAGACGATTGCGAAGAAGACCGACAAGACTGACATTTTGCAAAAAATAAGATGCCAACATTGGTTAAATTAAAGCCGAGTGTGTAAAGTTTGGAAGTTATTAAACACAAGTATGGGTAAAGTTGTCTCTGTATGCAACGTTGGGAAGATACCCTGTTTAACCTTTGAACTTTCACCTATGTGACTAAAGCCAGGATATTTCTGTGGCCCCATGCATGAACCTGATATGCCACACAGACATGAAACTGAGAGAAATCTAGTTACAGTGTTTGCTTCTTGGAATTTTCTGTTTGGTCAGAATAATACTGCCCTCTATAATTAAAAAAATAGGCCATCCCAGCTTTTGAGATTTTTATCAAATAAAGATATGATGTTAGCCTACACATTCATGCATAAACTCAAAAAGTTTGAAAATGTGGCACATCAGGTTCATGCATTGGGCCACAGATTTGATCTTCCAAAAAAGCTTCCAAAAGCAAGAGTATGAAACGGACCCTCATGGCCAACGATATTCAACTGTTAACGTGATCAATGGCAAAATGCCAACTTGAGTTCAGAGATGTCTGGGATTTGAAGCATGGGGTCAACTTACACCAACTCTACCCTTTGACCCGCTTGATGGCGGTCAGTAGGGCTTTCTTCAGGAACGTCTGGTTGGCATCCGCTAGCCTCTGGAGGGCAGCAAGACTTGCTCCAGATATCTGTGGATTAACAGATTGGAAGACATGCATATGAGATATCGACCGACTTTGTTATATAAATACACATCTGGATTGATGGGCTTGTATGTGAACAAAATTTGATGTTTTTTTACCAAAAAACCTCAAAGCATCTACCTTTTCAAATTTGCAATTATTGTATTACAACTCTCTAATAATTGCATTTTGATTTGACGTCAGAAGAACCACTCCTGTCTAGTACCCCAACAACCAGACCAGTAAATAAACAATGACTTGATAGGGGCACTGAACCAAAGATCCATCAGATCTGGCCAGGATTTCTGTTTCCTCATACCTGCTTGGAGAACCGATTGACGACGGCCAGCAGGAGTTTGGCAAACTTGGCGCAGGAGCGTTGCCAATGCCCATGATGCTCCAGCGCGGCGACGAACGTCTCGAGCGTGTGGTTGTCGAGCTCCAACTGAAGACATAGAAGGGTTAAACACCGGACCATGGGTGTAATTTGCATTGAGTGAACTGTGACGGCAAAGCTACCGGCTTATTTTCTCTTAAGGTCTGTTGGTTGGTTGGGACGTCTGTACTGATCTTTACGGCTGAGGCACCGTTCACGTTATTTGACTACGGCTGAAACTAACACACGTGTCTGTGGGAAGTGCAACAAGCCGCTAGCTGGTGGCTTCCACAGTCGTGTGCATTAATTTGAGCCATAGCCAAATAATTTGGACACGGCTTATCTCACCTTGCAAGCCAAGGCAGCCTGGAAAAGTCCTGTCATCTCGTCTGACCAGTGCAACGTCTGAACAGAGAGAAGCTTACTGTAACAATACCAAAATGGAAATTTGGCTTCGTATCAAAACTTGCACCACGTCCTACTTAAAAGATCCTAACTGAATATCACTTCAGTTTATGTTCTGAAACAAGACGTCTTAGATTATGGCCATGCCATGCAAGGCTAGTGCAGTGAATGATTGTAAGTAATTTCCTCAAAGAAAACAATAGGTCAAGTTTAATTTTGTTAAACTTTCAGTGGCGTTTCCATAAAACTCTGGAAACCGTAGTTTGTTCAACTCAAAGGTTTCTTGTTGGCAGTTCATTTTTTCCCAAGGACATTGCCTTGTCTGACTTAATTTACCTTAGAAAAGAGACCTTCGTATTCCAAAAAAAGTAGAGGGATATTTGTTACTGACACAATCAGCTTAAATCCTTTCAACAATGGCCCCAATGGGTCAGGTCCCATGGAGAAGATGTTATTCATGGTCACAACCTCCAATCAGGTGTAACCGATAGGACTGAGTCTTACACTTTCGGCCAAACACAACTCACCTCAGAAGATAGACTTGACTCTCATTGGTCAGTGCCTCCTTTAGTACCTTAACAACCAGGTCGCATTGGTGGGGACCGGCCGTGCCCAATGGACCCTCCCTAGCCAAAGCAGGCAGTAGGACTCCCTCTATGGTTGGCTTGGGGAAAGCTTTTGCGAGGCTGACGACGGCGGTGAGAAGAGATCGAGGGGCAGTCTGGGTCAAATCCTGAATCTGGCCGAACGGAGAAAATACAGGTAGACAGGTGGATGACTTGCGCTGTGTGGTGAATGTATATGTTTGAGTAACGCCATCACTGAAATGCCTGCATTGTTAACCCCTTCGTATCGGGAGCCGTCGGGGGGGGGGAGCCGTCCACAGCCGTGGCTTTGTGTGAGGATTAGTGCATACCACACATACAGTCTATTCATCATGCACCAGTGGTTTCAATGTGGACCGGTTGCTGGACAGGGCTTTGCACACTGGAGGCTTTGCATACTGGGCATACCGCAGCCCATCAGTCACGGTCAAAAGAATCCCGGCGTGAAGGGGTTGAGGACATTCGGCTCTGTTGTCTGGTTTAGCCATAAGACTGTGGGGATTTAGAATCGCTGTGTGTGTGTGTATACGTGCACATGCAATCAGGACCCCCAAAAACACAAAAAGCCAATTTTGCAATACTCAGGCTTAATAGTTCTCAGGCAAGGACACCTTTCTTTAACCAGGCTCAAAAGCCGAAGCCGGACACAAACCAAATGCCTTACACGGGCCTGAAGCTAGGACTACTCACACAAGTCCAATGAGTGACCTCCTGCGATCATACACTGGACAGCAAAAGAAACTCGTCCCTTCCGTCAAAGGCCACACATAAAAATTCACTCCATAGAAATAAACAATCTTTGTACACAGGTATGCTGCAATACCCCTTACTAATCACGTGCCCCAAAGCGATTATCTTTTTAACAAAGAAGAAATTGACATGCACAGCAAATTGGTTACTGAGTCAAAAGTCACACACAAAAGCACTCTCCACCAAGCAAAAATGAGCCATGAATGGACAACGGTTTAAACAACC